TCTCGCCTGTCCTGCCCCGACCTCTCGCCTGTCCTGCCCCGACCTCTGTCCTGTCCTGCCCTGCCCCGACCTCTCGCCTGTCCTGTCCTGCCCTGCCCCGACCTCTCGCCTGTCCTGTCCTGCCCCGACCTCTCACCTGTCCTGTCCTGCCCCGATCTCTCGCCTGTCCTGCCCCGACCTCTCGCCTGTCCTGCCCCGACCTCTCGCCTGTCCTGCCCCGACCTCTCGCCTGTCCTGTCCTGCCCTGACCTCTCACCTGTCCTGCCCCGATCTCTCGCCTGTCCTGCCCCGCCCCGACCTCTCGCCTGTCCTGCTATCATCCTGCAGCTGCAGAGCAGCGTCACAGAGTTCGAGTTTTCTCAGGAGGAGTACCGTCAGCTGCAGGTGGAGTTCTGGTCCCGGTTCTATTCCTGCTGTCTGCAGTACCAGGAGGTGGAGTCGTCTCCTCTCGGTTTGACCGTCAGTCACTACACCGGCATGGTCTGTCTGCTCCGCAAGGTGAGTGAAGGGAGCGGAGCTTTTGACTCTTTGACCCGTTTCACCCCCTCACACAGTTTGATTGGATCAGCACTGCCAACTTTCAGCCCCGTCAGGTTTTCCTCCTACTGATCTGTTTCAGGGTTTCGTCTCGTTCCTGCTGCCGTGTTTCGCCGTAGATCATCTGTACCTGTCAAGTGACGAGTACCTGTTCTTTGAGGAGGATATGCCTGTTGCCGATGGTAACGCCAAACGCCTCCATACGTTCATGCCTCTGCAGTGGGCGGGGCTTCTGGTTGTTTAACCATTGGTGCTTTTCATCGTCCTCAGACCCAGACGTGGCCAGAGACGTCCTGCAGCTCGTTCGGAGCCTGCGCCTCATCAGCGACACCATTTCTGTGGAGATGGCGTACGAGATGGAGAAAGCTCTGGAATATCTTCAACCTCCTGGGAGAGCCGCTGAGCTCGTCCTGGAGAACATGCTGTGCAATAAGTAGGTCACCTGACTGGTTTCACCTGGAACCGCTCCTCCGTCGACCCCAGAACCTCAGAATTGAGTCTAGAGTAGAAGAAACTTCCTGACACGTGGCTTCCTGTTTCCTGCAGCGATAACGTGATTGTGGACATCCAGAACAAACTGCAGGGCGTCCGAAACCCAACTGCAGCCATAATGGTTCTGCTGAGGGAGATGGACCTGGAGACTGATTCTGACCTCGGTGGAGATGGGCCTGTGGCTGCAGACCTGTCCGTGAGGATGAGTCTGTCCCAGCTGTACAGCAGCAACTGTGCTGTCTCTGTCGTCTGTCAGGCCGTCTGCCACATGGCCATGACCCGAGCCCGGTTCTGCAGAGACCTGCTCATACTGCAGAAACTCTACCTGCACTTTGGAAACAACGTACGTACACACACACACACGCGCGCGCGCGCGCGCGTTTGTGTCCATCCTACTGGTTCTGAGTCTGTGTTTGAATGTTGTTCTGATGTAAAGTGAAAGATTGTCTCTTACCTGTTGAGCAGGTGTGAACAGGTGTGCACACTTTCCTCTGCAGGTCTCAGTGCTAATCACATATGTTTCTGTCCAGGTGTTTCTGGGTGGGGGGGCCCAGCTGCTGCAGGTGAGGCAGGACCTGATCCCTCGGACCTCCCACCTCCTCTCCTCCTATCACCTCCTCAGACAAGTCAGTCAGAGCCTCGCCTCCTCTGTCCCCATGGACACCATGTGAGTACAGGTGAACGTACAGGTGGCCGCAGGCGTCCTACGGTGTGTTCTCTGTGTACCTGTGTGTGAGCAGCTTCACCCGTGTCGTTTCAGTGACGTGAACCTGCAGCACCTCACGGCGCTGGAGCTGTCGGACACGCCGAGCATCACTTCAGGTAGATCAGGTGAGTCCCACACGGAGCTTTTTGTGCTACAGGTTTAAAATAAGTTCAAGCATAATTCACAGATTTTAAAGAAGCGGGCCAAATAAAAACGTTTGACTTTAGTTTCTTAAAACTCACGAGTTGACAACATACATATATACATAATATAAGTTAAATTCAGGTAATGTTTAGGTTAAGTGAATATGCCCGTTTAAGGAGGAGAATTTTGATGCAGGTTTTGAAAATGGAGATGGTGGTTTGATTTCTCGGGGAAAACTCAGGGAATTTTGTTTTCATGAAATGCTGGGAACCCTGACAGAGAGGTGGCGCTGTTTGCAGATTCCAGGGTGTGTTTGCTGAGTAGAGAAGCTGTTCCTGTATTAGGAGAGGAGGCTAGTTGTGATTAGTTGTGCCGTTCGGCTATGTGCCTTTTCTTGGAGCTTGCTGCAGTACATCGTGGTTATTGTCCGTTAGACCGTGGAGGAATTTTCCTTGCAAATTTGATTAAAACAATAATGGCAGCTGTAGGCAGTTTCTTTGGCTCCATGCGAAGTGAGCCTTCTGTATTATGCACGATAAGTGAGCTGTCTCCATCACTCTAGCAGAGTTAAACCCAGCAGAACTCTGCTGGGTTGACTTGGAGCTACGACATTATAAACGTGTGACGAACGTCTGCCTCGTGTCATTTTCAAAACATGAGGAAATAACTCTGTTTACTAACAAAGTCCATGCTCAATAATCCAGGTATACAATCCAACATTTTTCAGTCAGGTCATCTGGACAGTTTCTTTTTTTGTGCTGAAACGTTTTACCTTCCATCCGGAAGGCTTCATCAATCAAGGAAACGCACAACACAAATTCTTCCCCCAACAGCGTATTCCAAAGTGGAACAAACCAGTTGGGGGGTTAGGGTCTGGCTGCTTCGTCACACCGAGGCAGCCAGAAGGTTTAGAAGTCCCATCCTGAGGTGTTTTGTAAAAGAGCCTCATCTGTGATATGTCAAACGTTATGGGCAACAGAGGAGGCTGGGATTTTAATGCGTTTCAGAATTAGTCCATCTCTGGTTCTGATTGTGAACTTCTTGTTCCTGCAGCCCTGAACCCTCAGACGCTGGTGGAGCTCTTCTATCAGACTGTTGGCCGGAGGATTATCATCTCCCAGATGTTCTCTCAGCAGCAGTACGACTCTCTGCTCCTTTGGACTCAGTTAATCTCCACCGTGGTCCAGCTGCTTGCTCAGCTGCTGTATCCTTCATTACAGACACCTAAACCTGAAGGTGGAGGTTGGAGCTGTGGGTCACCTGTCCTTATTATCTGGACAGGTTGGACCTGAGAAGGTCAAGTTTTTGTCTGATCTGTTCTGGTTCTACAGGTCCTTGTTCCACTGTACTCTTATACGTTTGCCTTGACCGGTGCGTCTCAGCTGGCCCAGTAACCCTGGTTTCCAGTTCCCAGAGTGTCTGATGGCCAACTGTCAGTTCAACCAGCTGCAAGTGAGTCATTTACACACCTGGCTGTTTCACAATAAAAGCATATAACAATATATTAATAAACAAGGACAGTGGTTTGTGTTTCCTGCATTGTGACTTTAAATCATAGGTCAAAGGTTACAACAGGAAGTTTCAGACATCGTTTCTGTGGTCCTCTGCACACTGAGGTTGGTTTGAACCCAGGTGTGTGTGTGTGTGTGTCTCACCTGTGTAGGAGTACGTGCGTCTGACTGACCCATGGTGTCAGGTGAACATTGGCTCGTGTCGCTTCATGTTGGCTCAGTGTTACCTGGCCAACGGTGAGAGTCAGAAGGTATGTGACTGTTACGCTGCACACCTCACCTGCATAAAGCCTCACTGTGACATCACTTCCTGTTGCCTGCACTAGGCTCTGCAGTGTTTCCAGCAGGCGGCGTCGGAGGTTGAAAGGGAGGAGTTTTTGATGAAGTTGACAGCCGGCGAGGATGAGGAGGCAGCTCCCAGCCCCAGATTACAGTATTACAACAAGGTGAGGAAATTCAGGTGTTACAGAGCTGCTGTTTACCTGTGTGATGTCACGACCAGGTGACAGGTGATATAAAAAATAAAAAGAAACCGTCCAGATGACCTGACCGAACATTGTTGGATTTTATACCTGGATTATTGAACATGAACTTTGGTGTCACTGCCAGATGTTACAGAGCTGCTGCTTACCTTTGTGATGTCACTACCAGATGTTACAGAGCTGCTGCTTACCTGTGTGA